TTTTCCAATCCCTAGAGGTGCTGTTTAATGAAAGTGTATCATTTCCACTTCTTATAGGGATGGCCTTGAAGCCATTTCATAATCTCCTGTCAGAGACATCACTTAGTGATCCTGAACCAAGGAGGAGAAGCAAGGTAATATTAAAAATAAGGAAAATTCTCAGGGCTCCTGCAAGGAAAATGAATCAAGCAGGAACCACATAGACACAGACACACATACACACACATCCCAAACAACTTTGCTGCTTTGCTAATTCATTCCTTCTATTTCAGATCTTTTGATATGGCTCTGGAAACTTAGTCTAGAGATGAGATTCCTAAAATCTGATAATTACATGTTTCTTTAAAGTTTGCAAAGTACTTTAAATGCATTCTGTCATTTGATTCATATCATAACCATGCAAAGCAAATGCTCCAACTCCTGTTTTCTCAACTTTACAGATGAGAAAAGTGACCCCCAAATAGGTAAGTGCCTTGCTCAAGGTCACACAGTAAATGTCTGAGGTAGAATTTGACCCAACTCTTTCTTTTTGCTACACCATAATTGCTGCCTTTAATTAAAATGACTTAATCATTCTATGGCGTAAACACTACTAGATGACCCATCTGAGTTATCCCCAAACAATATGATAATCTTATTTTTGTTCTACCTTCTGATGTATCAAAATATTACTAGACCAATGATCATGAAATATGAGTCTTCATAACGTAGTGGCAAAAGTAATGTATCACTGTATAATAAAATGACTGCCATTACACTAAAAAAAAAAATCCCTGAAAACAACTCCTTTCAGACCCTGGATGCCTCATTCCACTCATAAGAAGAAATAATAAATCATTTATCATTTTACCCATTTGACTTGCTGAAACTTTTATGTGCACAGACTTCAAATATAAAGCACTAGTAGTCAGCCAGAGGGCCTTTACCTCCCCCAAATATTCTCCTGTGAGAATTATTGAAACATATATTGGCTACAGTTCAGCCTAAAGGGCTGCCAGTAGAAATTACTTCATTTCTATATCTCCCTATTTTCTCTAGAAACTTAGGATAAGAGGTAGACTCACCATGAATAATAGAGTATATTCACCTTAATATCCCATCTACAAAGTTTTAAATCATATTAAGGATCTTCAGAGTTAAAACTCCTAAATCTCAAGGGAAAATAAATTTTCATAGATCATAAAATGTTGGAGCCAGAGGGGATCTTACAAATCATGTAGCCCAACCTCTTGGCATCATGTAATTCTGAGACTTCTAATAATGGATGGAAGATGGGTTGGCTCTTCCCCACCACAGCATCATGTCAATCACTCTCTCATGGAAGCTGGAATAGGGGGACTCTACTAGGTAAGCTTGTACCTTAGCCTGCGGACACCTTTTCTGTTTTAGGTTTGCTTTCCTGAATGGATGACCAAACATCACTGCTGTGATAGACGTGTCCAGACCTGAAAGTGACCTGGTGAGTTTGAGAGGTCCAGAGGTGCTTTGGGTCTAGATGACTGGAGGAAACTAGGAGTTGCTTCATTGAGCAAGATGACTGGGAATTATTTGTGTAGTACAGAGGATGTGTCCGTGCCTATTTACTGGTCTCACAAATTGCTTTACATTTTGGTCAAATTTAATTGTTAGCTTCCTGGAAGAGATTATAATAGTAGTTGTAAGTTACAGAATCCTGTTTTAAGTTGTTCTGTCAATGGGTACTTGTAAGAGTTTTTTTTTGTATTTTAACATTTTTTTGTGTGTGTAGGAAATAAATAGTAGCTCCATGCCTGATTCATACAGGGGAGACCTAGGCATAAACCAAGAAATCAAGCTTTAAAGAATTGGTCGATGGAAGCATTGGGGTGGGGACGTAGTGGGTCAAAGAGCATGAGATAAGGGAGTCTAACTCCTGTCCCTCTTATTAGAGGCAAAGATCCCCCAGAACTGAACTCAGGTAGATGTAGAGCAGAAGGGCCCCTGAAGGAGAGGAAGGATGTGCAGGCCCTTGCATCCAGAATTGATTCCTAATATTACACAAGCATTCTGTATCCCCTTCCCCTAAAATTATTTTGAATATGACTGAATATTTTCTAAAGACAGCATGCAGTAGTAGGTAGAGTGATTGACTTGGAGTGCTAAGTGGGTCCACTACAAATTTATATTACATAATCTCAACTGGATCTTCATTGTTCAAGGCAATTCTTTTATACCTCCCTAATTGACTCACCACAGTAGCTTTTCAACTCTCCTCAACTCCCTCCCAATATCTCAGCTGAGAACCTTGCCTCATATTTTGCTGAAAAATTTCAGACCATTCCCTGAGAGCTCCCTCATTTGCCCTCCTTCTTATCTCACATCATTCAGTTAACTTGTGTCACTATCACCTCCTTCCCCCCATCTCTCCCTGCCTAGGCAAATTCTTCTGCCTCCATCCTCAATCCATTTCCATTTCTTCTTCAGCAGATTGACCTCTCTTTTATGCCCACTCTATCACTTAACTTCAATTTCTCCTTGTTTACTGGCTGCTTCCCTACTACTTACAGATATGTCCATGTCTCCCCCATTCTCAATAAAACCCTCCCTTGATCCATCCATCCCCACTAGCTGTCATCTTACATCTCTCCTTCCTTTGGTGGCTAAACTCCTTGAGAAGGCTGTCTACAATGGGTGTCCCTATTTTCTTTTCTCTCACTCTATTCTTAACTCTCTCTTATCTGGCTTCCTATCTTATCATTCAACTGAAACTGCTCTCTTGAAAGTTACCAGGAATCTCTTAATGGCCAAATCTCATGGTCTTTTCTCTATCCTCTTCCTTGTTGACCCCTTTTGTAGTCTTTTACACTGTTGATCTCCCTCTTTTCCTTGATTTTTATTCCCTTTATCCTCTCTATCCTGATTCTCCTATTGACCTGACCACACTTTCTAAGTTTCCTTTGCTGGATCTTTAATTAGGTCATGGCTGCTAATTGTGGTTGAACCTAGGGTTCTGTCCGGGGCCCAGTTCTCATTTCCTTCCCTACTATTTCATTTGATGATCTCATCAGCTCTCATAGATTCAATGATCATTTCTATACTGATGATTCTTAGATTACACAGTTGGCTGATAGGGAAAATAGAGTGAGCAAAGCTACAGAGTCAGGAAAGTACATGGCAGGTCTAGTAAATGGTGAATAAACTAATTTGGCCAAATGGAGGGATTTATAGGGAAATATAGAGGGAGAAAAAGCTGGAAAGGCATTGTGACTATCACAGTGAACCTTTCTCTTTGTATTAGTACTTACAACTTTCTAGGAAATGGCATGTTCCCCTATACTTTTTTTTTTAGCTACACAAAGAAATACAATCCATTGACTATCTCTCAATGATTTTTATTCCTTTTTCATTTCTTAGTCTATAGACAACCATTAGATTTTAACCAAATACACTTGGTTTCTATTAGAATTGATTTTTCTTCTTCCTTACAACGGGTTTCAAGTAAATTTAGTAAATGTTTATATAGTTCCTAAAAATGCCTAAGGCACAATATATAGCCTTATAGGTATATATGATGGTGAATAAAATAGTTTCTATCCATAAAGAAATGTTCCCTTACATAGATGTGATATGTTTTTATATATTTTTGTCCAGATTTGACTTTCTTTCTTCACAGTTTTTGAAGAGTTGTATGTCACTCTAATATTGTTTTACAAGTTTGAATTCTCCCATTAAAAGAATTAGAGTTACAAAATGGATCCAGAATCAAACCCTATCAATCTATTGCTTATAGGAAAAAAAATTAATGAAAAAAAGTGCCTAGATTTAAATTAGGAGGTCAGTCTAAAATATGTCAAGTTCAAAAAAAGCAGGAATGACTGTACTAGTATGTGATAAAATAGAACTCATACTAGAAAACCTTAAAAGAAACAGACAAGGGTATTATATAATGGTGAAAGAAAAAAACTGTATAACAAATATGTAACACTTTTATTTTATATGTAAAACAATTGAACAGCTAGTTAAATTTATAAAATAAAGCTTAGCAGTAACCCAAGAAGAAAGAGACAAAAATGTAATAACAATAGAAGACTTTATCACTCCATTATCAGGACATGACCAATAAAAGATCATCAACAATAAAGAAATCATGGATCTGAACAGTTTATTAAATAAAATGAAATTAACACATATATGGAGAGAACTAAATAAGAGAAGCAAGGAATATACATTCTTTTTAAAGTACACATAATGTTGTATGTGTGTGTGTGTGTGTGTGTGTGTGTGTGTGTATGTATATCCCTCCCCAGGGCAGTGAAGAGGTAAGAGAAAAGAAATTTAAGTATGAACTTTGGGAGATGTATGTAGTAGTAGAAGGTTTTGTTGCACTGCAGAATGCTTTAGCAAAAAATGATGTGGGGACCCTCCTCTCTCCATTTCTCATCTGACACTCCAAGCTAATAAATATTTTCAAAGCTTCATTTCAGCAGGCATAATTATCTTCAAGAGGATCTAAAGTAAGGACATGAGTCAGGGTCATTAACACTTTTTAGCCTATGCCTATGGTTTGGTCACACCTTTAACCATTTTCACTAAAGTCCGTTAGTTATTATTTCTTTGCAGACATACTCTGAATGAGATCCAGTTTTTTAAAAGCTGACCAAAGTAGTAACATGAATAACAGAAGGCAAATTTTTTTTATGTTATTGCCTACTTACACTTCACCTTCTCTCCCTTCCCCCACCCTGCTTTCATTACAAAGGGTTATCACAGTTATCTTGAAATTCATAGTTTGCTACATCTGATCTTCTGGAATTTTATTCATTTAATTTATAATAACAAAAAAGTTCACCAAGATTTGCTCTCCTTGCAAAATTTGCTTCCTCTGGAGAGCTGAAAGAAAGTACTGGGTTAGTTCCATCTACACTGTTGGCAAAGGAATAGACTAAGATGACCCCCAGGTTTCTTGTATAGACCTCTGAGTCTACAAGTAGGCATTTAAACAATAGAGTAAGTAGTTATAATTACTGGAAATATAGACTTACTTGGGAACATACTGAACCAGATCTGTGGAATTCTCAGTTGACATTCTGGCTGGAGGAAATCTTACCTAAAACAAAGATCACAGTTTTTAAAGATGTTTTTATCAGCTTTACAAACATTTGAATTTCAGAGAGTAGATACCTTATACATCACATCAAGGAAGTTCATTTAATCTCTTCTGTGGCTTATTTATATCACTAATGATGAAAATCAAAAGCCAAATCTAGAAAGACATTGGTCATTAGTGTCCTATAACTGTGATATCTATCACTCACTATGTGAAATTGAAACCCAACTACGTAATCTAAAATCTTCAAATATTGTTAAACATTTTCCTGTTGACTATCACACCAGAGCTATTCAGCTAATGCTAATTCAATTTGTTTAAAACATATAGCTCTTCCCTTTTTCTGAAGAAGAACTGGAATGTGGAGGCATTTACTAATGTTTTAAATGAGCAAAACTCATAAAAAGCCCTTTAACAATAAGAGTTCAGAAGTCATGAGTCAAACATCCATTATCTGTGGAATGGTTCAATTAGTTCAGAGTAACATCACATAGTGAATTATTTCTGGCATGTTGACTAAAGGTGAAAAAAAATCTATTCAAGTATTTTTGTTCCAAGAAAGTTCGAATGACAGATTATTGTACCCAATGTAAAGTACAGGTATACTCAACAACTTTGTCCATAAATTACTATGATTGAAGATAACTGGGCATACAAAAATTGGAAACACAACATGCAATGTAATGAGATGATATTATATTAGAAGGTATGAGAAAATAATTATGGTAATCATAATGTGTTTATCTTCATACTTATAATTTTAAAAATACTTTTATGAGGGAAGAGGTAGAATTGTAGAATGAATATAAGACTGTCCTTGGAATCAGGGAGACCTAGGTTCCAATTCTGTTTCTGGTACCTTAGCTGTGAGACAATGGGCAAGTCACTTGACCACTCCATGCCCCAAGTCTACTCTCTAAAACTATATCATAGACTAGTGCCAGTCTTCACTCCTGGATGGATTTCTGACATCTCAACTTTCCTTTACCAATGAAATCATGGGTTTAGGTTAAAAAGAAAAAAAATAAAAAGTTAAGTATGTGTAATGTGTATTTTATATATGCCTATATGTATGCTTATATATATATATATATATGATATATACATGTATACATATACGTGTGTGTGTATCTAAGTGAATACACACACACACAGAGAAAGAGAGAGAAAGAGAGAGAGAGAGAGAGAGGGCATACATATTTACCCTAATTTTAACCAAAAAAAAAAAATCACCGCATTATTTAAGTACTGGAAGTTTAGTAAGAATGGCATTCTATTTCAGTAGATTACAAGCTGGTGTCTGGTACACACGCACTGTATTTAGCATCAGGCAACTTTGATTAGTGTAATTATTATTAGAGAAGTAGTGTGACAGGGTGGAAAGAGGCCAGGATTTAGAATCTCAGAAAACCTAAATTCGATCCCTGCCTCTGACATACACTGCTTGTATGACTCAGGAAAAGTTCCATAACTCCTTACTGCCCCAGTCAATGCTCTAAGACTTTAGGTTGGTGAGCAGGGCAGGTATATATCTGCATTTTCAGAGGGAGTTTCCACATCAGCATCCTTTTATACTAGTGAAACCTCCAAACACAAAACAGGAAAAATCGAACCCGTGTAAATCTCTTAATGTTTTGCTTTATCTATAAAATAGGGATAATAATACTTGCATTACTTATCTCATCAGGCAGTTGTGAGGGAAAACATGTAACAAACCTTAATTCAAGTCATCAAGAAGCACTTATTAAGCACCTACTAATCCAATCCTATCAACATTTATTAAATGCCTACTATGTGCAAGGCACTGTGCTATGTACTGGAGATACAATGAGTTAAAAAAAAAGACAATACTTGTCCTCAAAGAGCTTACACTCTAAAGGGGGAGATAACACATAAAAGGAAGCAAGAAAGGGAGGCACCAGGAGGAACCTGGCATGGGTTCATCTTGTTCTATGGAGTTGAAACCAGGCAGAGCAGTACATGCAGAGTGGAGTGATCTGAGAGTCCAATTTCTGCTCTTTATAAAGGAAGGCATAGGGATCTTCCTCTAATCAGAGGGGAGAGGAGTCTAAGAGAGGTAGTGTTAGTCAAGGCTTGAGTTAAGTAGCCTGGGAGGGTCATCTTGTTCCTTGGAGTTGAATAAATTCAAGGTCACCAATTATTGGGGTGAGGATTCTCTATTCAACAGAAACTACTAGAAAACTAGAAGAGAATCTGGCAGAAATTAGGGTTAGACCAATATCTTAATTGAGATATGTTAATATGCTCTAAATGGATCGATGAACTAAATATAAATGGTCATATAGAGATAGGCATAGAGACGCTCCCTATGACAGGTTACATGATAAAAAACTAAATGAGAATAGAAGGAACTTTTACAACTATGGTAAGAGTTGGAATTTTAACTAAATAAGTTTGGAAGTGATAGTAGAAGATAAAGTAGACAATTTCAATGGCATAAAATCAGAAATTTTGTGCTAACAAAATCAATACTGGTAGAATTAGAAGAGAAATTAATCGTGAAAAATCTTTGTAGCAAATGTCACTGATAAAGGGGTCTGATATCTAAATATATAGGTAATTGATATAAATATATAAGTGACAATAAGTGATCAAAGAATATAGCAGATATTTTTCATAAATATACATGCAAGCTATCACCAACCATATGAAAACATGTTCAGAAAACACTTTTAATAAGAGAAATACTAATGAAAACAATTTAGTAGTTTTACCTACGCAAAGAAAGAAACAAAAACAGAAAGGAAGGAAAGAAAGAAACAAAGAAAAGAAAGAAAATAGTATCAATAAAACAGATACACAGGAGGAAAAAAAACATTCAAAAGGTGGCACAAACTGAAGAATTTTGTTATTACCTTGGTTAATTTAATACATACTTAAAAATACCCTTCCAATATATATGTGTGTATATACTCACACATATGTAACTATACACACAAACATACACATACATATATGCACACAGAAATATTACTTCCCTAACACAGCATATATACTAACTACATTTTTAATAGATATGAATATCTATTTATACATACCTATAGCTACAAATGAAAAATGAGAGAGGGTAAAGACTTATAAACTACTCAGAAGCCTCTTGTCATTATATGATAAATACTTTGAGAAAAGAGTCACAAAGCAAACACCAAACAACATCAGGAAAATAAAATTGATTGTATTTTAGCAGACAAGAAATCATTCATTACTGATGTGAGAGTCATTCCTGAATCAGTGATCTTTGCACAATGAGACAACTCACTTTTTAGAGCAAAAATCAAAATTAGTACAAAGTTAGAAGAATAAAAACAAACAAAAATAGGGTATTCAATTGACATGTATCTTGGACATGTCACCTGGGTGTCTTGAAGATAGCTCAATATCAGCATGTCCAAAACAGGGTTAAATATCTTTCCTCCTAGTCTCATTCTTCTCCCAAAGTTTCCTATTTCCATCAAACCACCATTCTTCCATTCTCCCAAGTTCATTGTCTTTGGTTCTTCCATCTTCTTCACTCCCTGTAATGAATCAGTTGTCAAATCTTTCTGAACATCTTTTGCATCTACCTTCTTCTCTGTAGTCATACAGCCACCAACTGAACATGGACCATCATAAACCCATACAGGCAAGAACCTGTATTGCAGTGACCTGCAGTGGCCTCCAAACTGGTCTCTCTGCCTTACTGTTGGCAAAGTTATTTTTCTTAAGTGCAGATCTGCCCCTGTCACTCCCCTCCTTAATAAACTTTAGTGGCTCCTTTTGCCTCTAGGATCAACTATGTACTCCTTTGCTGGTCTTTTAAAGTCCTTGACAATGTGGTCCCAACCTCTCTTTTATTTCCCAAGGTACCATGATGGATACAATGCTGGGCCTGGAGCCAGAAAGACTTGTGTTCAGGTCTAACCTCAGGTGATTACTACTATATACTACCTGGACAAATTGTTTAACATCTGTTTGCCTCAGTTTCCTCAACTATAAAATGGGGATGATAATAATACCTATTTCCCAGGGTTGTTGTGAGTAATCAGATGAGGTAATTGTGAAATGCTTAGCACAGTACACTACCACATTTAATAAGCATTACAAGTATTAATAGATGCGTGTTTCCTTTTCTTTCTTCACTTCAGTCTAGTCAAACTCGAATAAAGGAGATTAACAAGTTTCTCTGATAAAGGCCTCATTTCTCAAATAAATTCTCAAATTTATAAGCATAGGAATCATTTCCCAATTGATAAATGGTCAAAGGATATAAACAGGCAGTTTTCAGAAGAAGAAATCAAAGCTATCTACAGTCATATGAAAAAATGCTCTAAATCACTATCAATTACAGAAATGCAAATTAAAATGACTCTGAGATACCATCTCACACCTATCTGATTGGCTAATATGACAAAAAAGGAAAATGACAAACATTGGAGGAGATATGGAAAACTTGAGACACTAATGCAATGTTGGTGGAGTTGTGAACTGATCCAACCATTCTTGAGAGCAATTTGGAATTATGCCCAAAGGGCTCTAAAACTGTGCATACCCTTTACTCCAGCAATACCACTACTAGGTCTGTATCCCAAAGAGATAAAAAAAAGAAAAGGACCTATATGTACAAAAATAGTTATAACAGTTCTTTCTGCGGTGGCAAAGAGGGATGGAGGGAGAAAATTTGGAACTCAAAATTTTAAAAAATGTTAAAAATGATTTTTACATGTAATTGGAAAAATATTTAAAAATTTATATTTACTTGCTAATAATAGACTAATTATAAAGGATATCTATTTATTAAATATGTATTCATTAAAAAAGGATATCATCAAGGACATTTATATTTAAAAAAAGATGGACTGGTTAGGCAAGAATGAAAGGTAACAGGTAGACAGATTGAGGACTCTGCTGGTTTCTTTGCAATGTCAGAAGAAACTGAGGGAAGCCTCCAGCATTTGGGTATATCCTCTGTGGTGAATTTACGTGTGTGTGTGTGTGTGTGTGTGTGTGTGTCACACACACATACATACACACACATATGTACATATATATGTATATGTATGTGCCTGTATATATATATATATATATATGCATTCATTATACACTTAGGATAGAGAGGCATTGATGGGCTAAAATCTGCATCACTGGAGGAAACATCCAAGTTGAGGAGACTGCAGAGCTATGCAATTGCCCGAGGACAGAGAACATTTCGATTAGATCCCTCTTTCTGCTGGTTAGTTTCTGCTACCTGACCATTTCATGCCAATAAGTGTGTACATGTGTGTGGCTGCTGTATAGCTAGCACTTCAGCCAAACACAGAACCAAAGCCTAATTCAAGATTTCAGTCATTTTCAGTCTTGTCTGACTCTTTGTGACCCCAATTTTGGGCTTTCTTGGCAAAGATACTGGAGTGGTTTGCCATTTCCTTCTCCAGCTCATTTGACAGATGACGAACTGAGGCAAACAGGGTTAAATGACTTGCCCTGTGTCACACAGCTAGTAAGAGTCTGAGGCCAGATTTGAACTCAGGAAGATGAATCATCCTGAATCCCAGTCTGGTGCTCTGTGCATATTGTGCCACCTAGTTTACTGGAGAAGAAATATTTTCTAAGAAATAGGCAAATGTCCTTCATACAAATACCATGAAAAGGAAGCTTTAGGTACTAAAGGGCTTTTCCCATGACCTATGGGTGATCTCAGTAACAGTGCCTTGCTGTCCAAGTTAATTACTACAACAAAGATTTTCTTTTGCCCCTGGCTGTGTAGCTTCCCCATTTACCTATTCCACCCAACACTTGGGAATCCAGATTTTTTTACATGATTGTGCACAGTTTGCATTGTGGGCAGGGAGCATGAAAGAACAGATCTGCCCTTATTAGGCTCCTAGATGCTTAGATTTAGAGCTGCAAGGAATTACATAGGTCCTCTCAATCAAACTCCCTCATTTTACAGATGAGGAACATGAGACCTGAGAGTTAAAGTAGCTTGCTTTTGGACTCGGGTCTTCTGACTGTTTTCTTTGCTATTTCTGCTGTACCACAATGCTTCTCTTTCCTTCAGTCTCCATAAGCATATCATCCAGGTTTTCCCTGAATTACTTCTGACAGAAAAATCACTGTACTAGTGCTGTGGCGGTTATTAAGGACAGAATAGACATAACACCTACAAATGAGATATTTTCGAAGTGCTTAACACTGTGCTTGGAACATAGTAAGCACCATATAAATGCCAGCTATCATTATTATTATTATTATTATTATTATTAATTATTTTACTTTAAAACGATTGAGAGGAGAATAGAAAAATGCTATATCTATCTAGCCTCTTCCCCATACTGGTGATGAAGAGGCTAGGAAGGGCAAGATTTTTTCTTTCACTAAGAATCAATTAGACTTATGAGCTGTGTGACCCTGGGCAAGTCACTTAACCTAATTGCCTACCCCAAAAAAAATCAATTAGAGAGGCATTGCGGAATAAGAGAGTTGGTCTTGGAGCCAGGAAGACCTGTATACTAGCTCAAATTCTGACCCTTACTGGTTATGTGACCCTGGGCAAGTCACTGAATGTCTGTTTCAGTACCTCGGACAAGTAGAGCAGGTACTAATTTGCATTCATTGGTGGAAGGAGTTTCCTCTCCAGAAGTTCCTATACTGTGCAATGGAATTCACAGGTCTTGTCCAGCAGAATGAACCATCTTCCTTCTCTCTCTTCTAACCTCATTTTTTGACACTCTAGCCTAGAAATACTGTTGTCAAGGGAACCAGACAGTCCTATACCACAATCCAAAAAACCATTAAATTAGAACTTTTTTTTTACCCTCATGACAAATGTGATGGATACAGAGAAGCATGAAAAACTCCACATAAACTGAAGAAGGATGAAGTGAGCAGAGCCAAGAAAACAATATATACAATGACTACAACAATATAAACAGAAAGAATGAGATCGCTTGCACACACACACACACACACACACACACACACACAAACAAAAATGAATGCTGCAAATTTACAAAAAATAGGCATGGCTCAAAAGAAGAGACATCAGAAGTTCCTTGTCAGAACTTATCAGTTCTACCTGACTATCTGATTCTGATGCCTATCTAACTATTCTGATAACCAACTTCTGAGCTTGGTATTAGAAGTACCCCCAGCCCAACTCTTTGCAGAGGCAGGAGGTCTATGAGTGTGGTACATTGCTCATATTTTCAGACTTCTGTGATATTTTGGTCAGTTTTAATTTTTCTCTCTTTTTTCCTTTAAAAATACTATTTGCTATATGGGATCACTCTCTGGGAGGAGTAAAGGGAAGGATCTTGGGGAAAATTTTTGCTGATATTAAAAAAAAGACATCAATAAAAACTCATTTTAAAAACTGCCTTTTCCTAGTATCCAGTCTCTTCTGTGGGGATTGATTTAAGTCCTATGTCAGTATGTTTTGGAACCCTCTAAATAACATCAACATTACGAAAGACCTTAAAGCCAAATGTTCTCCCCGCAAATATCAAGACTCTGCAATACTTGCTTTTTTCCGTGTGGCACCAGCAGCATCTGATAGGGAGCCATCAATTGTATGGGTCTCCTAGTTGGCTGTCTCAGAGGGCCCTTTGTTTACTTCAGTCTCTAGGTTACCAGAATGCTGAATCAGATAAAGAACTGAATAAGCAAAGGAGATTATTCTTATTTTTCTTCTTAGAGTGCTGTTTCTAAGAGCTATGCAAAGACACTCTGGTAAAAAGCAGCTCCCAATGTAGAGGGGACTTTTTTTTTTCCAAATCTACTAACATCTAGAATATGAGAAATTGCTCATTATTCACAAGTGATTCTTTGTGATACTTCCTGGGGATATTCTTTAGGACAGTGACATCTTTTAAGGTCAAAGAGACATGAAAAGAATTATGGATGATTTGTCATAGCTTTTTGTCCCAATCATGAGGACTCTTTAGGTTTTAATTATTTCATGTCTCTGCTAAGAAATATGAATGAGAGAAAAAGATGATGCAGATACCTGAACTCATGATGCTTGGATTCATAGGTGTGTTAAAACAAACAAATGGTGTAGAGAGATATTTTTTTAAAACTGTACTATCAATGGACATTGCATCTTAACCATGCTTCAAGTATCTGACTGTCCAAGGGAAACACTGGACCTTGTGACTGCATGAGGGCTCTGTGATGTCAAAGGTTTGGCTCTTGCTCATTAAAGCAACGGAATCTAAAAACTGCTAGAATCTTTCATTGTTTTTCCTTCACAGCCCTTGTCAATGATGAAATGAAATCATTTATATGCAGTCTCAAGTTTGTAAGTCTGGGAGAGTTGCCATTGAGACTCTGATGCTGAAAGTTCTTAGGACACCTGAATGGATTTTTACTTACAGGTTACAAAAACAGTAAAGTTTGAACATGATATGAGGACTCTGGGGTGAAGGGAGAAAAAGATTTCATCTTCCTAAGCCATGTGAAATTCTGGCCTGAACTTGCGAATTAGAGGGGCTTTATCTTGGCATGGGATTCTTCTTTTGCCCCATCTCTTGCATATTGGGACTCTTGTGAGTTGCTGCTGTAAAGGATGGCAATTGGAAACTGAGGAACAACCCATCCTGTCTCTTATTAAAAGAAGTCCATAGTGGAATGGGCTGGTAAACATCACCCTCATCCAATCTTTTCCCCCTCCTCCCTTTTTGGTCAGGGATCAGCCCCGTTTCCTGCCAGAACTATGCACTTTCTGTCTCTTCTCCCTTCTGGGAATGGACAGAATCATGTGGGAAAAGCCTATTCCCTTCCTAGACCTCTAGTCAAAAGTGACTCTTGCTCATGCGTTATTACTGTGACCGAAATACATTCAGTTCTATTGTACATCCAATTGTTTGATATAAAAATTAGGAAAATTTGGTGGCCACAAATCCTGACTCCTGAGGTTAATGATGGCAGCTGGTGTTGTTCATCTTTCGTTCTCAAAGGAGACCAGTGATGTCACAGGGTGATGTCTTGACTCATTTGTGAACTGGATTTAAGCGAGGCAGAGTTGTACAGTCGTCAGTTCAACTCTATCTTCCAGAGTCATGGAAGTCCAGTAGCAAGACAAAGGCAGGACACTTGGCAATGGCCCAGGAGGCAGCAGATGATCTTAGTGTCTTCCATGTTTGACAGAGCTCTAAATGCTCCACAGCACCTGCTTTAGCTGCTTTCATAGCAGTTGTAACAAATTGTTTTCATCTGCCCATTCCTCCAAGGGAAGTCTTTGAGGACTTCATCTAACTCATCAATGGGTCTGAAGCCCATTGGTTATTCTCCATCTGGTTTAGCCCATCTGTCAAGATGGTTTTACCAGGGTATGGCTGGTGCACATGCTACAGCTTCCAGGGGCCACAGGTGAGACTTGAGTGCCAGGTGGACACCAAAGGTAGATGAGCAGCCCTGGAAAGGGCTTGGCAAGCCTTCACACCAGAGGTGCTAGTCCTCCCTGAATAGCCCATATAGGGTAAGAGATTGGTAGAGAAGCAGTACCTTTATATTCCCAAGAGAGATATAGAAAATGAGCCAACTGACAAAACACTCCTAAAGTAGGATTTCTAACCTTTTTCCATGTCATGAACCACTTTGGCAGTCTGGTAAAGCCTATGGACTCATCAGAATAATGTTTTCAAATGAACAAAATAAAATATATAGAATACAAAGGAAGCAAATTATATTGAAATAAAAATTTCAAAATATTTTAAAAAACAAATTTAGGGAGTTTAAGAACCCCTGCCCTAGAAAAAAACACATTGATGGGAGAATGAGCTTCATATAAGGTAAGGTCTGAGAAACTAATGTTGCAATGGCTAATATGGAAATATGTTTTGCATGACTTCATATTCATAATGGGTGTAATATTTTTTGCCTTCTCAATGGATGGGAGAAGGACTGGAGGGAAGGAGAGAATTTGGAGCTCAAAATTTAAAAAAATGTTAAAAATTACCAAACCAATAAACAGATAGACAAACAAATAGATAGATTAAAAAAAAAAAGAAACTGATGTTGCAGCAGCTGAGGCCAAGTTTTGTTGGAAGCTTTTCTATCACCTTGACCCCAACCAAACCAGACCTTGTCATTGGGTCTGGATAAATGTATATTCCTATGAACTAATTGCAGGGCTCACTTAACATTACACTTAGGTACCTCATTCTTGGAACTGTTTTTCTCCTGTTCCTGGGATGAGTACGTTTTTAATTTTCTTTTTGGTAAAGTTATTTTATTTTTCTCCTGTGTTTGAGATTCTTTTTCACGGAATTATTTTGAGCTGCTTCCTAGGCCAACTTTTATTTATGCTAATTGGAAGAAATTTGGTTTCATTTATCCTTCTTGTAACTTTGTTTCTTATGTATTTATTTATTGACATTTTTATTTGACATTTTAATTCCTATTTTAATTTTTGTCTTGTTATATGTATTGTCTTATCTTCCTTTGTTTCCCTCCTCAGATAACTTTATCTTTTGTCTTTTCTTTGGGCAGGCTATCAGTCCCATTTCTTCTCAATACATTTTCCATGTTTGTTTTCATATTTATGATATTTAAAAAAACATTTTATGGTAGTCCACTGTAATATTTATAGTCTTGATTCTAGGAAAAACCTACTTTTTCTAGTTTTATTTTCAATTTTGATTTGGGATAGTTTCATTGGGACAATTTTCCCTCCTATTTTCAATCTGCTACTATTGTGAAAATATTGTTCACGCAAATTGTTTTTCTTAACTCTATTAATTGCTTCATCATGTTGCTGAAGCTACAAACATGAGCAAGTGTTTTGATTTTACTTCATGCTGTTTGCATAGTTATTTGCTGCTTGTTGGAACATAAAAAAGTTATTAACGCTGTTTTACATTTTTATTTTTGTCAATTAATACCAACTTTTATATTATTTAGATGCTATAAATTGCATATAGCATTGTTTTCTGCTGAAATTGTTGTGCAACTTCATATGTTTATAAAAAGGATTGTAAATTTCAAAGTTTTATACACACACATACACACACACACACATGCCAGTTCTTTTTCTCTTTTGTCTGATTTGGTTGCATCTGGGGAAAGAGTGAAATTTGACAGTGATTTAATCAGATATCTTCCATAGGAAATAATAACTGACATTTTTTTGTTACTTAAAGGTTTACAAACTTGCTCCTCACAATATTTGTGTAAGGTAGGTACTATATTGTTCCCACTTGATAGATGAGGAAACCGAGGCTCAGGCTAATGATTTACAGGCCAATTAGTGGAATTGGGAACTGAGCTTTGGTCTTCCAATTCATTAATCAGTACACTTTTCATTATACTGTTTTTCACCATTCCCTACTATTCATTCATTTGTTTAGTCATTCATTCAATAAACATTTATTAAGCATCTATGTGTAGAGGGCTTATGTGAAAGCTATGTAAAGTGCTTTTGAAATATGAAAATGTGGTATAGATGCCAATGATGATGATAATGATATGGAAAAGACATTATCCCTGACCTTATGGTGTTTACAATCTAGTAGGGAGATAAGACACAAATGAAGTAACTATAACACAAAAAGATCACAAGTGCACTACAAATCAGAATAACTAGGGAGGTCATCACAGGCTTCTCAGAGAAGTAACACTTGATTTATGCTCTAAGGGATGAGTAGAAATTCATGAGTAGAAATTCAGGAAAGGCAAGGATAGCAAAAAGGAATGCTTGACCTAGTGGACTAGTTCTAAGACCATTTGTTTTAACCTTTATAGGGAGGTCTTCTAATTTTGTGAAAGGCTCAGGCTAGTTTGTCTTTGGTGTTTTTCTGTCTCCTGCTATCCACTGCTCTCCACTAGAGCAATTAGAAAGGTCTCTTTTCTTTTATCAAAATCCATTTATCATCTTACCCATTCTCTGGGTGCAGTAATCTCAGCCAGCCATAAAAAGGATCTCACTAGGAAGTACGTTACCTTTTCCATGAGTATTTTAATTCAAACAGGGTTAATGTCCTAATCCAAATAAATTCAAATAAATAGCAACACTTTGAAGGATGTTATTTTGTGGGGCAAGAAGGTCCTTCCTGGTTTTCATCAAATAACTCTATAATGGCTTCTGCCCAGTTTATCAATTCAAAACACTAATGTTTCTCTCTCTCTCTCTCTCTCTCTCTCTCTCTCTCTCTCTCTCTCTCTCGCTCCCCATCACAAGTTCCACCTACACATGCCCAGACCAGTATTTATCTCCCACTGCTGTGATAATAATTCTCCTTTTTCAATACCACCTCTTTTCCCCATTTCCTAATTATTACCAGTATTTCTCCCAAAGCCATAGCACAAACAAGCATATCTTTTCTCAAGATCCTTGATACCCAGCTTTCCCTTAGGTTCTAATTAGTAATTTAGACCAATTCCTTACCTTCTGTTTATCCTTGGCCATTCTTTCTCCTTCTAGCCCTTACTCTTTGGTTTCTACCATTAAACCTAACTATACCTCCTAACAAACAGCTACTATCTGGGCTCCTAATTATAAACAAACTGCTATGGTGAATTCATATTTCATTCCCTTGGCTCCTGTTTTCTGCTCACAACTCCCAGCTCTCCTCCTGGCTTCTGCTAATAAGTAGTGAC